GCTGAACACATCTTCCAGGGACTTTCCCCCCCAAAAGCAATAGTATGTGGCTTTTGCATTTCTACTTTTTATAGTAAAATGTGGTTAAAACAACAACAACAACAATATTTAGATATCTTGAGTGATGACTTCTAAGGGCTGTGCTCTAAATAAGAAATTTTAAAAAATCACTTACCTTTTTTGAGAAGCGACAAAAATGAAATGGCTTATAATGAAATGGCTGTGATAGTAGGTGTGTGCTAATGGCCACTGATAACTCTTATCTGACCTGGGGAGACCTAAACAGACTAACCTCAGGCAGAAAGGCTGACAGTCAACCTACTCAGCACCCTCTTCCTGAAAACTGAACTTTGAGTAAGTGACAAAGGAGAGAAAAGATTAGAAATAAAAGTGCTGGAGGCAGGTGCCAGTATATCTATTTCACATACAAGGACACAGTAGACTCAGGTTTCTGAGCTGCCCTAGATTGCAGAAACTAGTCCTTATATAAGGAAAAAAAGAAATGACACAGCAGATCAGAAAGGTTTTGCAAGAGCTGGGCAGGGCTGGGGCACCTTCAGGAAGTACCTACCATCCCCCCTTAGTGGAACTCCAGGAAGGAAAACCCATTTTACTAGTCCAGAAAAAAAACAAAAAAAAACCAAAGAAAAGATTGCAAACATAATATTCTTTTCAGACCAAATGAAATTAAGCTGTTCGTGATGGTAATCTGGAAGCCCCAACCATTCCTCACAAATATTTGGTGGTGTCTGTGTCTCTGTGTCTGTGTCTGTCTGTCTGTCTGTCTCTCTCTCTCACACACACACACACACACACACACAAGGTGGTCTCAGTCACCCCTCTCAACTTTCACATTTAAAGTATTCGGAACTTCTCATTCAACAATAAAGTACTGGCAGCTCATCTCTGTGCTAAACCTTTTAATGCACCACGGTACCCCCACTTAGGAGTTGTTCTGAAAAGTAAAGTATTGCACGGAGAACACCTGATATAGAAAGCATTCAAATGTCTGTTACCGTTACAGTTCGTGCTAACGACTGTGTTATCTTAGAGAAGTTAAATCACTGACGATCCTACTGGAGGTCAAATCAAATTCAGCTCTCTCTCACTGTTCAGAAACATGCCCTACCCGCGGGTGACATATCCTCTGCCCTCTCCACGCTGCTTCTCGCGTGACTCCGGCGGCCTGACCCTTAGACCACTCTGCTGTGAGCCCTGAGCCCGGCTGTCAGGCCTGGGCCCGCCAAGTTCGCTCTAACACCCTTAGGCTACCCGCCCCACCACCAAAGATATTCGGCCGCACCAGGACGGGGACAGGCTCGGGTCTGTCCATCCGTCCCCGAATCCCAGCCGGCTCCTCGAGCTTGCGACCTCGCCAGATCCCACCGTACCTTGTCCTCCCAGGCCGCGTCGCTCCGCAGCACCTTGCTCCAGACAGAGACTTTGAGGGCCCCGTTGGCCAGCTGCGGCTGTGACGGCTCCTCCTTCCGCCGCCCGCCGCTCATCCTCCCGTCGCGCCGCCCGGGCAGGGCCTGGGGCGCGCGGGCCGAGCCGAAAGGAGTCGAGGTCTGGGGTGCTGGGTAACGGCGCCTGGGGCGGCAGTGACAGGTTCAACAGTCTGGTTCGGTGGCACGCTGCAACTGCCCGCACTTGGCCAAACAGCCCGGCTCAGCTCGCTCGGCCGAAACCAGGAATACCGGAGGGAGGAGCAACGCGTCACCGTGCGTCCTCCCGCTGACGTGCCCACGCAGCCAATCGGCGGCCGCGCGGCCGTCCATGTAGAAAAGTAGCCGTCGCTTGGCGCAAGCGCCATACGCATGGAGGAAGTGACGGCAAGCTTCTGCCAGGCTCGCCGTAGGGTGAGAGGGAAGGGACAATCTTGGAGGGGACGACAATACGAGCACGAGGGGGTGCTGTGGAGACTGAAGAACGGTGTCTGAAACGAAAGCGGAGGTTGGACATGAGCGTCACCCAGTTCGCCCCAGCTTGTCCCCTAGAGCAGCGAGGCAAAACGCGACCCTGGTTTTCTCGAGGCGTCCTTTCGAGTCGTCCTTTCAAGACGTTGCTCCCCGGGAACTCCAGGCTGCCTCTTAGGATTTAGCCCTTGCTCGTTTTCTCTCTTAAGTGTGCAAGTTCAGTAGGACCTGTTCAGGATGTTAACTCTTTTCTGTAATAAGTTAGTGTCTCATCCTGCCCTGCTCTTCTGTCAAATGAGCCCTGAAACCCAAAGAAGGGAAATGATTTTCTAAGGCTATATAGCAAGTTGGAACCAGCTGAGGACTCCTCACGGGGGAAAAGTAGAGAAAATATTTTATTAGGTATCAGAATGGCTGAATGTTCATCTGTTGTGTCCTCACTATGTGCTAGGTCAGTGGTTCACAAAATGTGTTTGTGGACCAGCAGCACCTACATCACCTAGAAACTTGTTTAGAGGTGTAAATGCTTCATAGACGTTATAGGGGCGGGGCCCATAATCGGCGTTTTAATAAGCTCTCCAGGTGGTGTCACGGACACTGTGCTATGCAGTATGTTGAGACCAAGGCACATCACTTCTCTGTGCGTTGGGTTAGAGTAACTTGCCCGGAATCACTCAACTAGTACCTGAGTTTGTCTGACTCCAAAATCTGTACTTTTAACCTTAAGCTTTAAGTCTTAAAGAATAACAAAGAACATCCTTTGCATACCTGTCAGTGTTCACCTGTAGTTCTCCACCTTAGGTGAACAACAGAATCTCCTAGAGAGCTTTTTCAGAATACTATATTGGTGTTTTCCACCACAATTCAACCCCAAGATCCTGTTTCAGTAAGTGCGGCTGGCCCCCAGAGGTGATAAACACTGCAACAGACATTACTCTGTCTGGATCTGATGAGAGGGCCATATATGTGACACGGGTGCACATCTTTAGTCTTTACTTTCACGTGGATCTTGTTTGTTTTGGCCCTGCCTCTTTTCTGAACCAGTTTCCCTCCCATATGCTAACTACAGTGAAGCTCACTCCTGTTTAGAAGTGTACCATCAGTATAAAACCTCTTCTCCAGGTTCCCTGGTAGCATGCTGCACTGGAGACAAACTGATCATTCTCTCAAAGAATGTTGGAAGAGTATCTAGCCCATGGTCAAAGACAGAAAAGGTAAGTTTTCAGTCTGCTGGGTGTAGCGGTAAAGATTTGTAATGGAGAATTTGATTTGAGATGTTGGGGAAGACAGCTCTGAAGGAAGAGTAGGAGTTAAGACAGAGAAAAAGGAGGGGAAAGGGAGAGAGCATTTCAGGAGGTGAAACCTTGTGGGCTGAAGATAAGGAATAAAGCCACAAATTGGGGAAGGAAAGAGAGGGTCATGCTGGAGAATTTGTTTTTATCCCAAGGGTGGAGGAGGAAGGAACAGAAAGGATTTGAGCAGGGGCCTTCACTTTTCAGGTTTACATCTTAAGCAGGATCATTCTGGCTGCTATTTGGAGGACTGAATCAGAGTGGGAGACTAAAGACAGATTTGATGGGGGCACCAAAGATGAAGAAAATTGGAATAAAATGGAGTTAATTCTTTCTTAAAACTTAAAAATATTTTTTAAGTTGCTATAAAATATGCATAACAATATTTACCATTTTTAAGTGTTCAGTGGCACAGCGAAATACATTGACTTTGTTTTGCAGCCATCCCCACCATCCTTTTTCAGAATCGTTCATCTTATAAAAATGAAACTCCATACCTATTAAACTATTCACTACCCATTCTCCCCACCCCCCAGCCCCTGGCAACTACCATTCTACTTTCTGTGTTAATTTGACTAAGTACCTCATGAGAGTGGAATCACACAGTATTTGTCCTTTTCTGATTGGCTTATTTCGCTTAGCATACCCTCTTAAATATCCATATTGTAGTATGTGTCAGAATGTCCTTTTTTAAGGCTGAATAATAACTTTGTTAAATGTTTGTTAAATGACCATTGCATGTATATACCACATTTTGTTTATCCATTCATCTATTGAGGGACCCTTGGAGTGCTTCCACCTTTTTGCTATTGTGAATAGTGTGTCTGTGTACATTGGTGTACAAATATCCGTTCATGTGCCTGCTGTCAGTTCTTTCGGTATATACCCAGGGTGGAATTGCTGGGTCATATGATAATTCTATTTTTTATTTTTTGAGGAATCACCGTACTATTTTCTATAGTGGTTACACCATTTAAATTCCTAAAAGTGCACAAAAGTTCCAATTTCTCCACATCCTTGCCAACACTTGTTTTCTTTTTTGTTTGTTTGTTTGTTTTAATAACAAGTACTGTGAAGTGGTATCTCATCGTGGTTTCATGTGCTTGTTGCCCATTTGTATATCTTTAGAGAAATGTCTGTTCTAGACCTTCGCCCAGTTTTGAATCTGGTTGTTTGGTGTTTTGTTGTTGAGTCTTAGGAGTTCTGTATGTATTCTGGATATAATAATTTTGATGAGGTTCAGTTTGCGTAATTTTTTGTAGTTGCCTGTGCCTTTGGTGTCATATCCAAGAAATCATTGCCAAATCCAGTGTCATCAAGGTTTTCCCTTGTTTTCTTCTCTGAGTTTTATAATTTTAGCTCCTATGTTTAGGTCTTGATCCATTTTGAGTTAATTTTTTAAATTTGTTTTTCAGTTATAGTTGACATACAATACTATATTAGTTTCAGGTGTACAACATAACGATTAGACATTTATATACCTTATGAAGTGATCACTATGATAAGTCTAGTCCCCATCTGGCACCATACATAGTTATTACAATATTACTGACTGTATTCCCCATGCTGTACTTTATATCCCCGTAACTATTTTTATTACTAGCAATTTGTACTTCTTAACCCTTTTTTATATGGTTTTAGCTAAGGGTCCAACTTCATTCTTTTATGTGTGGATATCCAGTTTTCCTACCACCATTTGTTAAAAAGACTTTTCTTTCCCCCATTGAATGGTCTTAGCACCCTTGTCGAAAATCATTTTGTTACTGGACAAAGTTGGTGGGTCTATTGCCCATGGCACACAGAAAAGCTGAAGTCTGAGGCAACAGTTTTTTCACAAAGAAAAGATTTCGTTGTCAGGCAGCTAGACAAGGAGATCAGAGACCACATCCTTCTCCCTTATCCAGGGTATGGGGCAGTTCTTAAGGCGTTAGGGACAAGTTTTAATTGGAGGGTTGGGATTTGGTGTTTATGGTAAGGGGCTTCAGCACTGAATCTTCGTGGACAACGGGCCCTTTGCTTCTGAAAGGGATCCTGTATTCAAGTTCCCGTTATGTCCCTATCCTTTGGTTCTGTGGGAAGGGGTGAGGGTTGTTCTGAGTGCAGCTGGAGGTGGCATGGCACATGTTCTGTGCTCTCTCTGTAAAACAGCTCAAGGGTTGTATTAATCACAGATCTGCTTTAAGGGAACAGAACCAGTTTTAAGCTGGTCAGTATGATTTGTGTGTTATTTCAATTTGACCATAAGCGTGAGGGTTCATTTCAGGGCTCTTCTATTCCATTAGTCTATTTGTCTGTCTTTATGCCAATACCACACAGTTTTTGGTCACCGTAGCTTTGTATTATGTTTTGAAATCAAGAAGTGTGAATCCTCCAACTTCGTTCTCCTTTTTCAACATATTTTTGGTTATTGGGGTATCTTAAGATTCCATATGAATTTTATGATGTGTTTTCCTATTTCTGCAAAAAAAAGAAGTCATTGGGATTTTGATAGAGTTAAGTATTTTATTCTTTTTGATGCTATTGTAAATGTTATTTCCGTAATTTCTGTTTTGGACTGTTCATTGTTATTGTATTGAAACACAACTGATTTGAGGGTGCTAATTTTGTATCCTGCAACTTTGCTGAATCTACTTATTAGTAGTTTTTTGTGGAATCTTTAGAGATTACTACATCTATGATTATATCATCAGCAGATATGATCTTTATCCACTCTGCCAAGAGTTAATTCTTTATATGTCATATTGTATTATATTGTGAAGCTCTGACTTTAACTCGGAGAGGAGGGTGTCATGGAAAGTTGTATTTGGAAGGGTCCTCAGATCCTGCAGTCCAGCCCAATGTCACACAGTAAGTTAGAGGTTTAATAGGCATTTGAAACCTGAGCTGTATTGCCCTCTTAGCTTTCTAGGAGCAGAAAAAGCCACGCTGGGAGGATATGATGGAGAGCCCCTGCCTAGAAGGTATCCATGGGACTGAGCTTTGTTCTTTCTCTGCTTTCAACCAAGGCTTTCCTTATCTTAAGAAGTGGGAAATCTGGCTGAATCTCAGTGCATCCATCTGGTTAAAATAAACATCCTGGGTGGTCTAATATGGAAAAGAACTTGATGAAGTCAGATTTGGAAGTGGGAGAGATGAATTTGGAATTAGGACACATTTGCCTTTGTGAGGTTAGGGCTTTTTAGCACCACTAAACACATGATGTCAGCATTGGGGGTGAGTACAGATATACCTTGGAGATCTTATGGGGTCGGTTCCAGACCACCACCATAAAGTGAGTCATAATCTTTTTGGTGGAGGGTCTTGCCTTCAATTTGTAAAAAATGTAGCATCTGTAAAGCACAGTAAAGCGAAGTTTAATGAAAACGGGTATGCCCGTACATCCTCCCAGCTGAATACCTCTATTCTACAGCCAGCTACTTGTAGTAGAGTTTGGAGAGGAAAGTGTGCTCTGAGAGGTAAGGCTGCGGCCCCAAACATAGATGGAATCACAGAAATCAGGAATCCTTGGGGGAAAAACCATGAGCCATGGCAAGAGCACTTAGTGTTAAATAGAGGTCTGAGTTTGTATCCTGATCTTTTCTTTTTGCTTAAAATAAATGTTTTACTAGCATTTATTGAGCCCTTACTAGTTGCCAGCTTTGCTAAATGTTTTACATATATTTATTTTCCTCCAAAAGCTGGCTGGACTCTTACCCACTATACTGAATTCCTCTCCTTCGACCTTTAAATTTTCTATAGTGAACGTGGGTTGCTTATGTAATTAAAATGACAGTCTTAGGAAGCAACAGTTGACTTTCAGGCCACCATAGACTCCTGGAGGCTAAGGGGAAGTCATTTGATTTGAGGGGACTAGTTGGTGGTACTATTCTTCCTCTTGTAACTTTGAAAGATGAGGTGCTTGTCTTTTTACCTCCGCAGTCTTCTGGCAGGAAATCAGTGTCCTGATGATAAGTGATTGGGTCCTGAAGCAACAGTAGGGGAATCTCCTGTGGCAGCAGTGAAGAGCACAGATTCTTGGACTCTCTGGGGGTGGTGTTTTAGAATTTGCATTTTCATAAGCTCTCCTGATGATCTTGATTTATATTAAGGCTGGAGAACTACTTCTCTGAGTAATTAGTCCTAGTTCTGCCACTTAAAAGCTGTGTGTTATGGGGCAAGTTATTTTAACTGTTCTGTTTTACCTCTAGCCTTGTGCTCAGAGGCCAGATAACAATAGAAAATAGAAGTGAAATGGATTGTCTCATTTCATCCTTCTAAGAGATGAGTATTACCATTTTATTGACAAGGAAACTGATGTTTGGAGTGGTGAACTGACTTGCCTGTGGTCACAATAGCCAATGAAGTAACAAAACCAGAATTTGAACCCAGGGTTAGAGAAGTGCTTTAGAAACTAGTAACATTGATAGCAGTGATGCCTATTTCCACATCCCTTTTGAGTTCCAGACTTTATTCTCCATGGCTCCAGTGGATAACATAGTAAGGTCACAGCCACACCATGGCAGACCTGGCCCTTGCCTTCTGGGAGCTTTCTCATTGTCAGCTTCCAAACTAGAGTGTACTTTTAAAATCCAGAGTCCTGATTCCCACCCTAGAGATTCTTATTCATGGGGCTGAGTTGGGTCCATGGAAAAATTACTTCCAAAAACAGTAGAAAGGAGGCTGCTTCCTTGACCATCAGTCTCAAGGCACACCTCACCTAACACCCCTCCATCACTTTTTCTTTCCTTTCTTACTGTTGGACACAAGGTCTAAGTACATTGATACCCAAGGACTTAAAGCATCACCATGGCCCCTATGTTAAGAGTGGGGGCATAGAAAGGGGGTCTGATAATACATAGCCAACCCAATAGCAAACTCAAGCCAGGGAGCAGAAATGCATTTACTTCTTTAACGAGACTGTTCCTGGAAAGGTAGATAGATGTCTTGATAACATTCTTAGCTTCTGAGGAGGGGCCCTTGCCACATTGTCCCTGTCAGCTTTCACTAACTAGAGTGTTTGCTCACCTGAGCTCTTCAATTTGAAACTTGATGCAGAAGATACTTTTGGTTTGTTCTTTGAGTATTAAACCGATTTTGAGTAGCCTTTCCAGCATGTTCTTATTCTGCCAAGCCCCAAGGCAAGTGTCCAATTTGAGGAATACTGACAGAGGGAAGTGAGAAAACCAGGACTTTGGGTGAATGGCCAAGTTGGAGTTCTTTAATCTGGGCAACTTGAGCAGGGAGGCTGTCTCCGAATTCCTAAAGGGAAGTGACCTGTGGGAGATTTCATATCCTCTATTTTGGTGTGCTGGAAATCAGGAAGCCAGTTTGGTTCAGCAGAAACTTCTAGTGCTTAGCCCAAACCATGTTAGCTGGATGCCAATGGGCTGTGAACTGCTTATCACTAGGTTCAATGTCTGGGTAGTTCTGAGTGACCTTAAAGCAAGACAGACTTGAATTCACATCCTAGCTCCACTTAATATTGGCTAAGCTCAGGCAAGTAACAAGGGCATCTCACTTCTTTTGTGAATGTGTAGAAAAATTAAGAGATAATGAACACTGCACAGACCATAAGACCCTAGTAAGACTGTTTACTGTTGCAGACCTTGATTTTGTGGTTTGGGCTGCAATTACACTGTATAGTCAATTTCATCATAACAGAAATGCAACCCGCAGCTAGCTTAAACAAAAAGGGGAATTTACTAGCTAATGTATTAGTGAAGTCCAGAGGTGTTACTAGTTTCATATGACTAGAACATCCCTTTCATCTCTGCTTTTGTGCTGTCTTCATAACTGCAGCCATGCTCTTTCCTAATTGGGGGTGGTGGTGGGGTTACCAGCTTGGGATGCATATGCCTCCTGTACACTGTGATCAATGGGATACGGAACAGAGGTGAGGCCCAGCAAGTAAGGATAGAGTGTACATCCCTTAGAAGTAGCTACTGGAGGGAAGGTGAGAACAGTTAAGGCAGAGTAAGGCCTCTGTAACTGCCCCATCTCCAGGCTAGGCCAAGTCACAGTGGATCAACCTGTTTCTATTTTTCAAAACAAAACAAACAAAACCCAAAACAACTTTATTTGACAAAAGACAACAAGTTATTTACAGTAGTTTTTTGCTCAAATTATTCAACGGGATAACTGTGCTTCTCCAGGTTTACCTCACAACCAAATCAAGCAGAGGCTGCCCCACCCACAGCCTCCCTATCTTGCACAAGGGGGGAATGCCAACCAGAATTCAGCAGCATGGCTCCTGCCCCCCTCACCACCTCCACTGCTCAGTGCACTGTGGGAAGAATAAGTCCCACCCCAGCCCAATATACTTCCAGAGTCCTCTGCTACAAGCATCTTGCAACAGTCACACCAGACCTGGGCTCACAGACATGGGTGGGGTGGAAGAGGCTGGGCAAAAAGCAACTTCAACTACTCTTGAAGCTGCCATGTTCATTCTTCCCTAGCTGGGCCTCAGGAGGGTGAGGATCCCTGATCACCAACCCCCTACCCTAGGGTATCCAAGGAGGGCACAGGGGGAGGCTGGAGGCAAGAGTCTAGGAAACCTGCCTACTCAGAGCAAAGCTCCCTCTCCTTAAATAACCAATCCCACTCCCACAGCCATGGGTGGGCCAAGCCACTCAGAATTGAGGGTGTCTTCCTGAAGACTTCAAAGATCATCCCAGGAAGGACAGAACACACATTGCTGCCTTTTCTCCAGGCCAACGCCACACAAGTCAGCCAACACCCAGTAACTCTCCCCCTTGTGCCCGACCTGGCAAGTTCAGGAAACTATAGGCTGGGGTTCCTGACCTGTTTTTTGGCCCAGTAACAATGTTATTCAGAACAAAAATATTCCAGCTAATAATAACCTAGGATTAGTGTTTCTTAGGATATATAAAGATGGGGTATGTTGCTGTCAGCAATGAAATAGCAAATAAAAAATGGGGAGGGAGAATAAGACCAATTGTGATCTGTTTCACTGTGAAGTTCAGGGCAGGGGCCTCTGCAACTCCAATTTAAAGGTGCAACACAAAGACACTGTGACCAGGCTTCCTAATTTCCAGCCCAGCCTTCTCTGGAAGGCAGTTCCTCAGCCAGCTGGGGGCACTATTCCCTGCTTCTTCCAGGAATAGCTTCCTGCCACCATTGTGGAAAAAGCTGCCAGTAGATGGCTCACTTCTCTCCAAGTAAGAGGTACCCAGAGCTTCTGACACTCTGGTCCCACTAATCCAAGTTACTAAAGGAATCTAAAACTCAGGCTGCAGGGCAAAGCTTTCAAGGATAAAAGGGAAAACATTATAAGAGGAAAAAAAAAAAAAACCCACTGCCTCAGTCTAGCTTACTTCTCCCACCCCCCAAAATACAGTAAAAACAAAAATAGAAAAAACACCTCTCTGGTTTTATCATCCTTCTCTGCTCTGTGCCTAGGTTTGGTCAGATTCTCTGTTGGACCCTCTCTCTGGCTGTAGCTTTATCCCTTTCTGTGCCTGATGCAGAAAAGTCAAAGCCCATAAGTTTTTCCTTTTTTGGGGGCGGGGGGGAGGCGGGGTAAACCAAACCAACAATAAAACACAAAAATAGAAAAAACACCTCTCTGGTTTTATCATCCTTCTCTGCTCTGTGCCTAGGTTTGGTCAGATTCTCTGTTGGACCCTCTCTCTGGCTGTAGCTTTATCCCTTTCTGTGCCTGATGCAGAAAAGTCAAAGCCCATAAGTTTTTCCTTTTTGGGGGGCGGGGGGGAGGCGGGGTAAACGAAACCAACAATAAAACCACCATTTGGAATTTTGCAGAGATTCGGCTGGTCTCAAAAATAAAAATACTCCTTCTTTGTAAAACAATCACCAGTTGTAGTGGTGGATCATTCTCAGTTCATTAGACTCCATCACACGGTGCACTCTTATTCCCCACAACTGGGCTCACTACCCTCATTAACGCAAACCACAGCAAAAAGGGAAAAATAAACACAAAGTTTAGCAAAAACCTAAACATTCAACTGGAGTTGGTTCTGTTACATCTGCTGGGTTCCTCTTTTCTTTTGTTCACACTTATGAACTTGGAATGTTCACACTTGGCTTAACAAAAAGAGGCTGGCTCAGGGGCAACTTGGACCCAGCGTAGGTCTGAACTTGGCAGGTTTCCTGTGCCCAGCCCAGGAAGGCAGCCTGGAACAAAGGTGTCCTGCGGATTCTCTGGAGAAGTAGCAGCAGCACCATGCCTGTCTCCACTCTCTTGGTCTCATTACTGAGGAGGCCTGGAGAAACGGCGGTCAGCAGAG